CGTAAAACACGTCAAATTGTACGTGAGTTTTTTCACTTTTTGACGTAAAAGTTCACGGATGTAAGACTTTTACGTGAAACTTAACCTCTCTACTAACGAACTTTATCAACGAAACAAAATATATTCGTTATGGGGTGGAACGAAGGGGATTGACCAATTTCGTTTCTGAAAACTTTGATACATGTACATGTCAATGGCCGTAGGAGTAGTGACACACTTGCGACTTTTTGTTGTATAATGCATTGTACATGTAGTTCCTTGGTCCTTTTCTTTCCTCTATTAAATTACTTATCCTTGGGATGGTCTAAGACCATGATTGAGAAACAGAGGGTACCAGGTTCAAGTCCTGCTTGGAAGCGGAAGGATTTTTTCCAGCCGTGCTGCGACCCACAGTTAATTGGGAACTCGTGGCCTGGCACGAGGAAAACATGGATGCAGTGAATGGGATTTTCGGTCTTTGACCACTTGCTGGTGAGCTGATCTACTCACCTCCCACCGCTTTAGGAGCTGCATCTGCGCCTTGATCCTTGAAGGGTGGTGGCGTTCCTACGGATGCGGAAAACCCGGCTTCCAGCCGAGTCTCACGCGAACCGTGATTTTTTTTTTTTGGCTCTCCATCCGAGTCCATCCATGTACATGTATGTCAACATGTTACGTTCCAAGGGGGAGGGAGGGAGGGGTTGGGTTGAAACAAATTACCGTATTATCTCTATTAGAAGCGTAGTCTCTTGTAGAAGCCCAGTCTCTATTATAAGCACACTCCAAGAGGGCTTCAAAGATATACAAGCGCAGTCTCCAATATAAGCGCAGGGCTTATAATGGAGACCTGTATGGATCATGTTCATGTATGTTTGACGTCACACAGTATCACATAAACACATGCTGTGGTAAAAGTCTGTGATCCCCGAGATCTAAAGTACAGCGTGTACCAGGAAGCACAAAACTGCAGTTCCGGTACCTGCTGAGAAACGTCCTGCTACTGATATAATGAAAATAATAGGCAATGTACATGTAGCAGGTGGTTGAAAATTACAAGCCCAGTCTCTAGTAGAAGCCCAGTCTCTAATATAAGCCCGGGGTCCGGACTGGTTGAAAAAATATAAGCGCTGGGCTTATAATGGAGATGATACGGTAATTCGTTTCGTGATAAATTTTCAATATTATCCGTTTATGTTACGGACGGCCCCCTGCTTGCATTCCACTTTGCAGTCATACACATTCTACCAAGTCGCTTCACGTTACGGTCATGCCGTTGAAAGCACTATTCGAATATGTGACCAGCTTCCTTTTAAAGTACGGTGCGGGACATGTACGGCATAGCTTGCCAGGCATGGTGTGTCACATGATAAAGCAATCTTATAACGAGACGTACCTTGTAACAGGACTTGCAACTAAAGGTACAAGAGGCACTGATTCATACTTACATGAGGTACCTTCAATACAATGTACCGTATTTCCTCGATTAATGGACCATGCTCGAATAATAGACCATGCTCAAATAGTAGACCCTCCTAGAGGCCTCACGGAAAAATAGTAGACCATGCCCGAATAAGAGACCCGGTCTCTTATTTGAGTTCATCGCTTTGCGCATGCGCACTGAGAAAGCACGTGGTGGATCAAAAAAGGACGCGATTTTAGGTTGCGCAACTACAATTTTTGTAGTGGCTAGTGCTTTCTTTCATTGTTTGAGCACGGTCCACTATATTTTCATCGGCGATGTTATGACGTGTGTATGGTCCCTGCCTAGACCATACAATGATCTAATCATGCAGTTTACACACACACGTAACTGGCTCACTCTGAACTGCTCTGAACTCGGAATGTCATTATCTTCAACCAGACTCAGCTGCAGCAAGAGAAGACTGCCTCCGAACAACCCAAAACCAACTTCACACGAGCATGCATCTCTAGTGCGCATGCTCGTGAGAAGTCATAATAATATGACTTGACTGAGGGACACAACAATTCCCCCACCACTAGAAAAAGACGAACATGGAAAACAGTTATAAGAGTGGTTCAAATACGTATGGATGGCTACTATGCGAGTGTCTGATCTGCAACCAATTATGTCATCATTCGCTATAGAATTATAACCGATACCCATGGCTGACATAGTAACTATTCATGTATTTATGACGGCCAATACCTATAATTATTTGAACTATTTACAGAAACAAGATTTGTATACACATTATAATACAGTTCATGACCACTGCAGTAACTGGAAACCACTACTTGGCTTGAGTGCGGTACCGTTCAGGTATGACAACCTGGCGGCCGGACCGGGTCGTACTAGTGTTCTGACCAGGTGTCGATGGTGTTGGCATTCTAGACTCAGACTCACTATCCGTAGGTATTGTCGTGGTTGTTGGTGTAGGGCTGACTGTTGACTGACTTGACGGTTGTTTCGGTTGTTTCTCAGCGGTAGTAGGACTTGAACTTGAAACTGTACCGGTAGAAGAAACACTGGGACCAGTATCAGCGGATGACGATGGAGCCTGATGCGTCGATTTAGGGGGAGCTTCAGCCACATCCTCCCTCACAAACTCAGACAAAGGAACTGAACGTGCTCTCAACTGGTTGCGATGACGCTTCCACAAAGCATCCTGAACTTGAACTTGGTAGTTGACTGGACTGATGACTGACACGATGCGACCTGGGACCCACTTTGAACCATAAGAGCCAAAATTTAGAGTGAACACAGCGTCGCCTGGTTGGAATTCTGGGGTCTTGTTCATGTTGCGTTCGTAAGCGTCAACAGACGGTTTGGCGGTCTGTTTTAGCGTGTCAAAACGGGTACGTGGTTGACGCATCATAAGCATCTCAGCTGGTGACTTGTTGTTTGCTGAAGGGGTTGTACGATGTGACAGGAGGAAGCGTTGTAGCGTAGCGTGTAGGTCACCCTGCGTACCCATGGCTTTCAATTTTGACTTGAAAACCCCAACATAGCGTTCTGCTAACCCGTTGGTCGCCGGATGTCCAGGAGCGGAACAAGTGTGTCGAATGCCATTCTTGTGTAGGAATGATTGAAATTCTTCACTCGTGAATTGTGAGCCGTTGTCCGATACGATGTGATGTGGTAGGCCAAACAAAGCGAAGACACGGCGTAAAGCAGCGATAGTAGTAGCGGACGTTGCACGGTCCATAGGAACAATATCCAGAAATCGAGAATATGAATCAACAATGACAAGAAACATCTTGCCCATGAAAGGACCGGCGTAATCAATATGTAAGCGTTGCCAAGGTCCCGTCGGCCATGACCAGCTACCAAACTCCTTCGCTGGCAGGCGTGCTTCAGCTTGGCATTCCGGACACTGGGCGCAAACCTGCTCCAAATCTCTGTCGATACGAGGCCACCACATGTAGCGACGTGCCAAGCGTTTCATACGAACTACACCTGTGTGTTCATAGTGAAGATCGTTCAGCAAGAACTCACGTAATGATTCTGGAACAATGACACGATCGTTCCAAAGAAGGATATTGTCAGACACAGACAACTCCCAGCGCTTCGCAAAGTACGGCTGTAGAGTTTGATCAATGGTTTCCGGCCACCCATTCAGTACATGGTGCCAAACTGTCTTCAGTATAGGATCCCGTTGCGTTTCGGTAGCAACTGTGTCCGCATTAATGACTTCGCTTTCAATGAATAGTACCTGTTCATCAGCTACCTCGTCGGAGCAGGGAGCGCCAGGACCAGGTTGGCGCGACATGAAATCAGCGAATGGGTTTTGGCGCCCTGGGATGTGCTTGATAGAGTAGTCGTATGCCGCTAGGGCCAACTTCCATTTCTTGAGTCTCGGTGACACCAAGTACGGAACGCCGTCTGTACACCCAAGCAGTTTAACAAGCGGCTGGTGGTCTGTTTCGAAAATGAACTTGCGACCGAGAAGGTACTGGCGGAAAGTAGTAGCTCCGAACACCACGGCAAGCGCCTCTCGCTCGATGTTAGAGTAGTTCTTTTCCGCCTTGGTCAAAACACGCGAGGCATATGCAATGGGACGGAAATGACCAGGTCGCTCTTCTTGCAATAGCACCGCTCCTAGACCTACGCCTGAGGTGTCAACTTGGACCTTGATGTCCTTCGTAGTGGAGTAGAAAGCCAACGTTTCAGTGGCGCAGAGTGCACATCTGATTGCGTCAAACGCGTTGCTCTCACTAGACTCCCACTTCCACACAGCATCTTTTTTGAGTAAGGCGTACAACGGTGCCATGATGGTGGCAAAATTCGGAATGAATGCTCTGACGTAGTTCGCAGAACCGATGAACGATTGCAGTTCACTCACAGTAGTTGGAGGTTTTGCGTCTTTCATGGCTGTAGTGCGCTCGGCTGATGGCGATACACCCTCCGCTGAGAATGTGTGCCCCAAGTAGGAGATGCTGTCAAGCATGACTTCAAACTTCTCGAGTTTTAGTTTCATGCCGACTTCTTGCAGGCGCTGGAGAACTTTCACAAGGGTCGCTCGGTGCTCGTCAGGTGTTTTGCCCGTAACCACAATGTCATCGATGTATACAATGCATCCATCGATGCCAGCCAGCACCGTCTCCATGGTGCGCTGAAAAATGGCAACAGCCGAGTGTACACCGAACGGTAAGCGCACATATTCAAACAAACCACGGTGAGTATTGATAGTGGTGTACTTTCGGCATGATTCATCGAGCTCGAGCTGGTGATACGCCCTGCTTGAGATCGATTTTGGTGAATTTCGTACCGCCTGACAATTTAGCGCGGATCTCAGCGATTGTAGGTAGCGGATAGCTTTCCAGCGGTGAATGTGCATTTAGAGTGCGCGAGTAATCCGCACAAATGCGAATCGAGCCATCCGGCTTTTTGACTGGAACAGTTGGCGTTGCCCATTGTGAATAATCAACTTTCTCGAGAATGCCATCGCGCTCGAGTTGATCAAGAGCCTCATCGTATTTCTCAGTAATTGCAAATGGGACTTTGCGAGGCTTGAGGAAAACCGGGTGTGCGTCGTCAACACGCAGGTTGACCTTCATTGTGTTTAGTTTGCCCATTGAGGTAGAATCAAACAGATCTGGAAATTGGGCCATAATTTCCTCACGCAGTTGAATTTGTGCCACGGTTTCATCAATTCTAGTTTTGACAGAGAAGATTTCATTCCATGGTAATTGAAACAGTTGTAGCATGTCCCTTCCCAAAAGGGATGGTCCCGAGACATCTACAACTCTGAGCTTAACGGGCACTGTCGTACCATTCAAGGTGACATTCATTTCAAGCTCGCCCAGGCAGGTAATAGGCTTATCAGAGAAACCCCTCAACAGTACGGTGGATTTAGGTAAGGTAGACAGAACCCCACCCAGCTTCTCGAAATCCCGTTTATTTAGTATGGACACACCACTGCCAGTATCAACTTCCATGCGAATAGGGGTGGGTACCTCATTGATTACAACATCCACAGCAAACGGGGGTACGCTGCCTGTAGTATCACGTACAGTATACATTGGAACGCTCTCACCTGCGTCTTCACAGTCAGAGTCGGAGGTAGAAAGATCCTCACCCATGACATGGTGACAGTCACGCTTGTCTCTCTGCAGTTTAGTACGACAAACCTTCTCCAGATGCCCCCGTTTGTGGCAGTACCGGCACTCGGCGTCCTTATGTCGACACTTGTTTGCCAGGTGCATATCCGACCCGCAGCGAAAACAACGCTTTCCGGACGCCATCGGCTGCTTGGTGGATCGACGTTCCTTCGTCATGTGTACGGGAATGTCCGTGGGAGACCCGATCGACGCAGAAGCAGCAGAGGGTGCAGTGAATTGTTTTGAGTAGGAAATGGCCAGTTCCTCCTTGCTAGCCAGGTCGATGACTTTCTCAAACGTGTCAATATCGGACTCCTTGGAGAGTAACAATTTCCGTCGTATCGTCGAGCTTGCCATGCCCGAAATAAACTGGTCCGTGAGGGCTCGGTCACGATGGGAGCCAAATTGACAATCGACAGCAGCACGCTTGAGTTTATTAGCAAAATCGACTGTAGTTTCACCCGGAGCTTGGGAGACTTGGCGAAACTGAAAAGCGGCGGTGGTTGGGGTAGTGTTCTTTTTGTAGTATTTCTCCAGTACAGCACAAAGCTCGTCATACTTCTTTGACGCGATCTCGTCAGGTAGGATCAGGGATTTCAAGGTTGAGTAGACCGTCTTAGAGAGCAGGGAAATTAGATGCGCTGTCATTTTCTTCTCCGCTGCTCTCTTTTCACCAGAAGAGGCATTGGACGCCACGACACCAATACTATTGGCACAGAAGAAAAATTCAACGCGTTCGCGATAGTCTTTGAAATCACCCCCGTCGAAAGGCTCGATGGTGGCGGCGTAGGGCAAGTAAGTATTCGTCGCCATTTGTATGGTCCCTGCCTAGACCATACAATGATCTAATCATGCAGTTTACACACACACGTAACTGGCTCACTCTGAACTGCTCTGAACTCGGAATGTCATTATCTTCAACCAGACTCAGCTGCAGCAAGAGAAGACTGCCTCCGAACAACCCAAAACCAACTTCACACGAGCATGCATCTCTAGTGCGCATGCTCGTGAGAAGTCATAATAATATGACTTGACTGAGGGACACAACAACGTGTTAAAAATCCACCATTTCCAGCGATGTGCCGATGAAAATATAGTGGACCTATATTATGACGTGTTAAAAATCCACCATTTCCAGCGATGTGCCGATGAAAATATAGTGGACCGTGCTCAAATAATGGACCATGCCCAAATAAGAGACCGGGGGTCCAACCCTCTTCAAAAAACAAAAGACCGGGTCTATTAATCGAGGAAATACGGTAATCATTTATTGTCACTTCAACTAGTTATTACTACCGACTTCAATCACGCGACCAAAAGGCAAAAATCCTTCGTCGGACGAATGCAAGGTGTAGGGGTGGTGTGCATGGTACAATTTTTCTCTTTAAAACTTTCTACGCCTGCCTACGTGTTATCTGTGTGCCCAGCACCTTCAAGTTTTGCATGATGTTCTTCAAGTTTTGCATGATGTTCTTCAAGTTTTGCATGATGTTCTTCAAGTTTTGCATGATGTTCTTCAAGTTTTGCATGGTGTTCTTCAAGTTTTGCATGATGGGCAAGCATACATGAATAGCTTTCCAACTGTGTGTCGTATGTTATGATTCATCGATTTTCTGATATTTCACCCAGAATTTTTCAGTTTTCAAAGCAAATTTTCGGCATTTCAGCTACCTTGCCTGTCCATGACCGAGTCACCATCACGTTCAGCGACCTAGAATTAGTTTAGATACGTTGTTGGTAAGGTTCTCTTCTGTAGCCGCCGTTAGCCGTTTGAAGAATTTGTGCTCAGCGGCTGAAGTCGGCTATTGAAGTGCACTATGTAAGGGGATCGGCATGACGGAGCGAGCAGACTTTTGGCTTGTAAATTCATGGCCGCTGTTGTTCTTCATGTCGAGATGCTGGAGGTGCTTGAGCAGGAGCTGATCATTCCAATCCTTCGAAGCAGAACACACCCCATTCCGTCTAACATCTACGACGGTTTATCCGCCACTCTCCAACATTGAGATACAAGAGGTACCTGGTTCAAGTCCTGCCTGGGAGCGGTTTTACAGCCGTGCTGCAACCCACAGTCAACTGGGAACTTGTGGCCAGTCACAAGGGGTACATGGATGCGACTAATGTGGTTTCTCGGCACTAGTGCCAGTGGTTGTGAGACTTATCCCCTCACCCGCACCATTAAGCGCTGCATCTGCCGCTAAGGTTTACCGGGTGTTAGCGGCCGTCGTGAGTTCCATTTGGGAACGGACATGATAATTTACTTACCGGTACTTGACAACGGAGAGTAGAACAAAGCTACAGAAAAATCAATCCAAAGTTTTTTTTGACATAATTTCCTACCTAAAAATTCCAAAATTTCAGTCAGCGCTTCTTGTGCCATTTGACATGCTTGTTGCATACTCTAGTGAAGAATAAATCACAAAAAGAAACTAAGAAGAAGCAAAGTAAAAGAAGACGAAACTTGTCAAAAGCTGGATTCAAACCCGCAACCCCTGTAAAATGGACAAAATGGCGATAATGTTGCGAACTGAGTACGCGTCAGTTTTCCTTACCGGATACTGAGCAATAGCGTGTGCAGCCAGGAATCCACCGTGTGATCCACCATGCACATAGATCTTAGACATATCAATGGGCAACTCATCAACAGCTCTCTGTGCTGCCACCTACACACAAGTACAGTAAGCACAGCAAAGTCACACGTGCAAAGGATAGAATGTTTTGAGAACACACATTTTCAAAACACTTGCATCCTGAAAGGCTTCCATTGCTTCCCATGCCATTGTGTCCTCAAAGTACAATACCACGGCACATGTACTTACATCTGGCAACTACCAAATCAGTACTTAGGCGCATTCAGACCAACTTGAATACACATCGGTATGGAACAGCGTGAAACCGCCAACGCCACTCACACTGCACTCCGTTTTTCATGCTCCTCGGAACCGGGCCATCTTTGAGACGACCCCTATAGTTGATGTCAGAATCTTTCTGCCTTTTGCCAGGCTTCGCAAAACATTATTTTGCCATGACAACTTTTCCATGGGCCACCAATTATTACATCAGTATAAATGTACCCTTAGGAGCTGGCTTTTCGTTATGTGAAGCTCACAATAAGAATGTTGCTGCCGATAAAGGATGCCAATTCCTATCCTCAGTGGCCAACAAAGAAAGTTGTCTCATCTGATAAACTGTGCTGCTGTGAGACCCAGGGTGGCTATGTAGTAAACTAGTACAGGTAGACTTAGGGCCCTGGGCATATACGTTGTGGTGGTGGTGGTGGTGGTGGTGGTGGCGGTGGCGGCGGCGGCGGTGGCGGTGGTGGTGGTGGTGGTGATGGCGGTGGTGGAGGAGGAGGAGGATGAGGTCAAAGAGGATCTCTGTCATCGAACAACAATGCTGCTGTCAACATACGAGAGAACAGTGGGGATAACAATGGCAACGGCGGTGATGTCGACGACGGCACTGATAGTGTCGTCATTGACAGCAGTTGCGGCAGCGGCAGCAGCACCACCACGACGACGACGACGACAACAACAACAACAACAACAACAACAACAACAACAACAACAACAACAACAACAACAACAACAACAACTACTACAGCAACAGCAGCAGCAACAGCAACAGCAACAGCAACAACAACAGCAACAGCAACAGCAACAGCAACAGCAACAGCAACAGCAACAGCAACAGCAACAGCAACAGCAACAGCAACAGCAACAGCAACAGCAACAACAACAACAACAACAACAACAACAACAACAACAACAACAACAACAACAACAACAACAACAACAACAACAACAACAACAACAACAACAACAACAACAACAACAACAACAACAACAACAACCACAGCAACAGCAGCAACAGCACCAGCAGCAGCAGCAGCAGCAACAGCAGCAGCAGCAACAAACAACGAAAACGACCACGAAGACCACCACCACCACCACCACGGTGGTGGCGGCAGCGGCGACAGTGACAACAAGAAGAATAGTACAAAGAACTCCAGTTGATACCTGTACATCCTTCACATCATTGGCACCAATCTTTCCAGGAAGTGACATAATGCTGTCCTGACCGAACCCAGTGCTTCCACGATAGTTGACTGAAAACATTGAGGAACAAGACAAAATTACAATATCCAAACAAACACATTCATGTATACCGGTATGCTGCAGTGTAGTTTGTATCAACAAGGTAGCCTGCTCCCACTGCTCCCAAAGAACAAGGCATTGGTTATAGCACTGAAGAGAAAACAGTTTTTCTTCTTCAAATCCTCAATATATGTGTAAAAATGGCCACCATGTTGCTGCTGATACCACTGCTGATACCACTTTTCCGCACTTTGCGGTGAAAGGTCAGGATACTTGTAAAATCATGAAGTTTTGGGATGTGCACATGCGAGATGGGATGCATACGTGAGAGATGCGGCCGTGCGAGGTGGGATGCAACCTTTTTCTGTATCACAGCTAGATATTCTCAATACTGAAATGAAAGCACAGGCTGAATCATGTGACCATAGTTACTGCCTAAAAGAGAGTATGCTAATTCACTTTCTGGCACGGGCAACCATTTGCCAAACATCCCACTGCTGTAGTTTTGCTGAGCTTTCACAATTGAGTGTAGAAATAGCCACACTTCAGAGTCAGAAGCTGACAAAAATTCACACTGATCAGAACTCATTCTTTGCCAGCTATATCACTTACCGGCTACAGTGTAGAAACCAAGAGCTGCGCAGGCAGCAAGCATAGCTGAATAGTCACATACAAATGCTGAGTGTGGCCCACCTGCATCAACAATCAATACACCAAAACTGACGTTTGAGACGTTACCTTCGCCATTTGACTGGGTCAAGAGCACAATATGGTGATAGTGAAGTTTCTGAATGGCCTAATGATAGCTTGCATACCGTCCTACCGGTAGGACCCAAGAAATCGAGCTGCAAAAGTGCTTTTGGTTGAGAAATGTCTTGAAACAATTGTTGAGATGAGATCTTTGTCAGGCAAAGTAATGGCGCAAAATGCAAGGCTATGTCCAGTGCATTGCGTATGCGCAATTTTATCGATTGTCAAAATGGCCGCACATAATCTTGTCGGTGCGCTAGCAACTCTGTCCAAAGTGAATTTTGACCATGGCACATCAATCGTGGTGAGGTCCTAATGTTTTTATTAGCTTGCCAAGGCAGTGGAATGCATAATTCCATACTCAGTTTCCATGGTTACCATGGGCTGTTACCATGGAATTTCGTAGAATGCCTTGTGCGATCACGTCTAAAATTTGTGGACTCCTTCATTAGCCCCTGAGCAACAGTTTAGGGTCAAGTTTTAGGTCAATGTTAGAACAGAGGCCATGCAGCATGTCTGTGTATGATGGTCCTATCGGTAGGTCCTACCGGTAGGACCGAGGTCTATGCAAGCTATCACTAAAATGACTATCGCATTTCCCCAGTCACTGGTATATTAAAAGCCAACCTCTCGTCCACCAAAAATGAAGTAGAAATACTTGAAGTTAACCCACGGGTTAACTTATTGCCAGAATAATTGAGCGTCCGTACACTTTGCTGTATCCCAGTACTGTATTACTGCATGGCAAACAAGTTCAACGTGTGACTGTGTACAGATAGATTATGCCATTCAAGGTTACTGGTCGAATCTTACTACTTCCAGCCCCGCGCCATCTCCAAACTCAATTATTTGATGAGAGAACTATTTTCGGAGAAGACGCTACATGTACTTGGAAAGAGACGGCAGAAATGCAACTGGACACCAAACGACTCAAGACAAAGACAGATCGTACACACAACTGCAATGTGCGAATGTACCAACAACAGTCCGAGAATCAGACAATCACAACCAACACTCTCTTTCTCTCTTATATCCCGCTATGTACAGTGACTGAGCACCTTCTACGGACTGCCATGGTCAGTGTTTGGAGGTGGGGTAGATGAGAGATTTCTGTCTGCAGGTCCAATGGCGTGCAACACTTCGTACAACCATTGCATGTTAGTGCAGTTGATGTGTAAGTTATTCAGTTTAGCTTGGAGTGGAAGTGTTGATCGGTTGCTTACTGATAGGTGAAAGTAGCGGCCAAAATGGCGGCACAAAATGTTGGGTCCGATGATCCCCCCCCCCCCTCACTTTTGTTCTGGCTCTAACCCTGTGTACTTGCTCACTGCCACACACTGGTTACATCGGTTACATCGGTCTCCCTGAAAAGTGGTAGAGAGATCCGAAAGAGCCCGGGTCAGTGGCTTGGAAAGATGACTGGCGCAAACACACACACACACACACACACACACACACACACACACGCACACGCGCGCGCACGCACGCACACACACACACACATATGTAAGTACACATGTGCATGCATCCACACGCATACACACAAGTGTGCTCACAAATACTCCCATACCATGAGGAAAGACGACCAAAGGATGTGCTTTACGCTTTGCCTCTTCATCTGTGTGTTGTGGACAGATAAAGATGGCCTGAAATGGAATTTGACCTGTAGAACATAGGAACAGGAAAAGCACAAGAGAAGAGCATGTCTCACTTCGACGTATAGCCGCTTACAACACGGATGTGTGAACCTTACTTTTCTTTCTTTCTAAGAAGGAGCCTGTTTCACACACTTTTTTCCCACCATTTCCCAATACACACAGGCACACGCACACAGGCACACACACGCACAGACACACACACACAGGCACACACAAACAGGCACACACAAACAGGCACACACATGACGCAGCATGTCTGGAGTATTATATTCATAAAGTAAAGTTTGCACAGTGACCTTACAACCGGATATACAATTAGAAACACTATCATCTTTTCCTTAGGGAGCTTCACTCTTTGTCAGACCACCACCATGCCTGATTTATACCAAGGTGGCAGGTGCAGCTCATAGCAGCAAAGGTGGAATGGCTAGCATCGCAATCAGTGGCCGACAGGGGTGAACCTCGTTAGCTGCATCCGTGTCACCCTCATTCGAGGAGTGAGTACACAGTTTAGCGTGGGTGTCGTCGCAGTTCATCGCATGTAAAATGGCTCGTGAATGCTTCATTGCATTTTTAGGACAGTACACGCTCAATGCTGCCAGCGCAGGTCTCAACCTTGGGTAGTACCTCAAGATTGGCAGGCAGGCCAACAACCACTCGGCCAAAGTGCTGGTTCCGGTTGTATATTGATAAGCTATTGGAAAGAGATTACATGCAGTGCAGCAATGCTAGTGCTGAGGCCAGAATGTAATATTTACACGAAGAAAGGGTCAATGCCACAGAGTCATAGCGCGCGGGAAGACAAAACAGGTGACTGTAGCACTGGGGACTTTGACCCCGGGCTGCCAGTTACAGTGGACCTTGGGGCAGGGCCGTTTAACACATGCTGGCAGTTGGCATTGCTTGCATGGGCCGCACTTGAGACAACATAAGGGCATGCGTACTTGCTTCACTCTCTGCTTGGTGCGAGTCTTCAGGAAGAAGATCAACAATCCTGAAGTCAACTGCGAGTTGCCTTGGAGTGGCTATAACAGTGCACAAACACAAATACCCAAACAGAGCACAAACCACTGTCAGCACTGTCAGCAGTACAGTCATGTTGAGGTAAGGGCGTCTGAACTGGTGCGGCAGGCGCGGCCAAAGCCGCAACACAAAGCCGCACCAATAATTTAATCTCGTGAAGTGATAATAGTATGGGCTATTTGGGCCTGATTTCCAAAATTGTCCATACCCCCCCCCTGCATCTCCACCCACTTCAGACGCTACAACCATCACCTTAGCAACACTACGACCAGTTCACTTACTGATTGCCAACCATTTCCGACTCATTTTAACATTCTCCATTGAGCTGCAATCTACACATAGAATTTTCTGCAGTAAGAAAAAGAAAAATCACAGAAAAATCACAGTGCATGTATAGCCATTAGTAAACACCCAACTTGGATGGCTCAGAAATATCATGTTGGGTGGTGTGCTGCTTCGAACTGTAGTTAGACCGCTTTGTCAAGTATCTTACTGGTCTCGTTATCGCCCAGTAGCAGTCAGCATTCTTTGTTACTGTGACACTTGGCTTGTACTCATTTTAGTTGCCCCCCCCCCTCTTTGGTCTCTCCGTTAACCTAGAACCTTCGGAGTTGGAATGCTGTTGGTTAGCGCTTCGGAAAAGTGTTGTAGCTAGGTGTCAGGTTGTTGAATGTCTGAGTAGTCTGTCTGTTTTGGGCCTAGCTGTTGCATTTTTGACCGTAAATAGTACCTTGCTACACTCGTGGGACAGTTACTCTTAAAATTCGTATTCATGTGTCCCTTTCCTCTTCTTTTCTACAAGGTAATGAAGTTGGCTAATCGCAACCTAGAACTTATACTGAGGTCTTGAGTAACACTGGACTATCCCACGACTGCAATCCAGAGAACATGAGCCGCATATCAAACTTTTCACTTTGCAAACCTGCCAGAAACTACCACTCCCTACCCAATACAAAGTAGGTGAATAAAAGATAATTCTAAGCTTACCAAACCAGGAGTGGTCGATGGATTGCTGTAAGTTGCCAGCACAACGTTGTCGACAATATCCAGCACCGACCAGCAGCCTATTTCAGACTCTGAGAAGATACACAAGCACAATAACATCAGGTTAGATAATCATGGAAAGGTGGGAGTCATCCTCAATGTATCACTCACAACATTGATAATAAAACATTGCAACAGAGCTCTCCGCCATACTCCACTTTACTACACCCTCAACCCGTCACCACAATGTGCTCTTAGCTGAACCAATGCACGAAGCATAAACACACTAGCACAGCAAAGTCACTTCCATTGACAGTTGTATAAGAATGATCGACTCTTTACACTCCATTAACTTCATTAACATCCACTACTAATGAGCTCGAAGGAGCGAAACAGCTGTCTAGATGCGTAACAATTATCTCCTGTCAACGGAAGTGACTTTAGCTGTGCTAGTGCGTTTATGCTCCGTGCACTGATTCAGCTAAGAGCGCATGGTGGTGACGGGTTGAGGATGTAGTAAAGACAACATTGATCGGTTCAATGCATGTATAGTGAAACTGAAACAACAATAGAACCTGCACCTTTGGTTGGTGCTGCAGTTATGCAAGCATACACCGCGCACAAGTTCAACAAATTACAAACTCAAGCCTTAGCACATGCCAACACACACACACACACACACACACACACACACACACACACACACACACACACACACACACACACACACACACACATACACACACACACACACATACACACACACACACATACACACACACACACACATACACACACACACACTACTACTACTATTGACAGCTGCCAGAAATGGCCACGCCGCTCCCCAAAGGGAGGTACTGTCAGAGAGGTTAGGGGAGAGGTAGGCAGGGCTTCAAATGGCGCTCCAGGTCCTGTCGCCTCCGAAACTGACGTTGACTACAGACTCGGCAATGATGTTCAAAGTGCTGGCGATCAGTCACTGTAGGGCGCTTCGGGCGGGGTCCACAGCGATGGCGCTTGAGGCCAGCAGTAGACTTGAAAGTACGCTGGCAGGCAGTACACACCGGGACCTCGGCAACAGGAGGAGCATCAAAAGGCGGTCGGTCGTCACAGTTGCCACTCCCTAGGCACTTATGCACTGCAAGCCCACCCCTGCTCCGGAGCCATCTACTGCAGGCAGGACACTGCACCGACCCAGGCTGCTGTGATACGGGGAGCTGTCGGACTGCTGTGCACTTGTGCCGGGCCATGTCGGCGCGCCGACGAAACAGGCGGCCGCAAACGTGGCACACAATCGTCTTCGGGGCAGGCTCCTTCACCCCCGCTGCTGCCGACACTATGTCACGCCACTCCCCGCGATCATTGGCTGATTGGAACCAATTGTGCACACCGGCCACAGTCAGATCAGCCTGGACAACGTCCTTCCAGCGATGTCGGGGGCCGCAAAACGGGCGGGTTCGTGGAAGATGAGCGAAGAGCAACTGCTTGGGTAACCGATTGTTATCAAGCCGAGCTAGGTGCCCAAGCCACTCCAAGCGTCTTCGCTGTACCATGCACGACAGTGGAGTAGGGTCACCCCACTGTGTGCGTAGTTGCTCCGATGTAATGTGCTGCTCCCACTGGCGGCCGCGCGAAACACACACACACACACACACATACACACACACACACACACACACACACACACACACACACACACACACACACACACACACACACATACACACACACACACACACACACACACACACACACACACAGCACCTACCGGGAGACATGCGTGCCAATTCTCCTGTTGCCACATTAACGGACACAATTGCCTGGAGGCCCAAACAGGATAAAAAAAAGTGACGGTGAGTCGGGGCGGGCGAATATTCTATATAAGGTTAAAAGGAACGAATACTTTACTTGTTGAACGAATATTGAATATTCTGTAGAAAAACTAGGTTTGAGCGGCTGCTCCCTCAAGCGCACATGCATGCACATATAATCACACAAGGTCACGGCATCGCTACTTCATTGTACACCTACTACCGCAGATCAACATTTTTAGAGCTCGCACGCATGTACATATCAGTACATCCGCCGTTCTAGAACTACGATAGATTGACACTTGAGCAGAGTGTCCTCACAGAACTACGATAGAGCGACACTTGAGCAAAGTGTCCTCACAGAACTACGATAGATTGACACTTGAGCAGAGTGTCCTCACGTGTCACAGCGTCTGTACAACCGTAGATCGACGCATTAACGTACTTACACATTTAACTGTACACTTCCTTGAAACGAATATTCCAAAGGGGATAATATTCCTTCTATCGCGTTTCTAAACGAATATCAATTGAATATTCGAATATTCTTTGCAACTCTTTAATTTAAAAAAAAGAACACTTGAGCAACTAGCAATATTCTAAAGATATAATCGAGTATAGACTAATGAATAGCAAAGGCTTTAGGCTCGTACCAATCAACATGTGTGTGTGTGTGTGTGTGTGTGTGAGTGTGTGTGTGTGTGTGTGTGTGTGTGTGTGCGTGTGCGTGTGCGTGTGTGTGTGTGTGTATGTGCGTGCGTGTGTGTGTGTGTATGTGCGTGCGTGTGTGTGTGTGTGTGTGTGTGTGTGTGTGTGTGTGTGTGTGTGTGTGTGCACGCACACGTGCATGAGTTGGGATTACCGTACTGGATAGTTTCTTTCTCTGACTCTATCTACCTGAAGAGAAGGCAATGAAAGTGTTCACGGAAATTTGAAATACAGTGTATTGGCCATCTAGAGTCTGACGCTTGTGCTATTCCCGTGTGAATATTCTCATTGCATTTTGTCAGCAAGAAACAGTGATATGGTAACAATAAAGTCAATAACACGGATCTGGGAGGTCTAAACTTTGGTACTGTCGGTGCAATACCGCCTACAAATCAATTTCACTTACATGACTTGCATGTACACCTAGTGGGGGATTTTAGCATTACATCAACGGAGGCATGACGTACATTTAGCAGGTACGTGACATAGATTTCTTAGACTACAATCAAATTCAAGCTCAAAAATCAAACCTGCATCAGTTCTTGTCATGTAAACAGCACAACCTTACTTGCTGGCCCTTCCATTGCGTATCGAAGAAGATATACTGTCCACATGACGACCAGCAACGAGAGGAGAGAGCGGACCATACAAATATACCTGCAAACTCATTTCCTGTAGTGTACATAAACACATGGTGATGGTAGACTTAAAACAGTGCACTTGAGCCAGGATCGTAAGCACTCAGACTGTTTCTTGGGAAAGAGGGTCCAGATTGGTTGGCGTGGAAACAGCCACATCTCAGTGCCCTGTGCTCACTGACCATGGGCCGCAGTATACCAATTGTTGATTGACGACTAAATATTCATGTTGTCAACCTGCCCTAATGCCTTATCTATCCAATACCACTTAAGGTGAAAGGTCTAAACTTGGGAAGGCACTATTTGCTATTCACTGGGATTTCACCCACCATCAACTTGGTGGAGCTAACACAAAGCAATAATGCGTCAGTTTCAGCTACTAATGGTTCACTGCGGTATAACCCACCCTTATATACCCAGGCATTTTGAAGTCAATCGCATACCTGCCAATCTTCGTGAACACAAAGTCGGGACAAAAAGTGAACAGCAGACTAAAATTTTGAATAAGTGAAGCCACGTGTGAGACGACGCACGTAGCACGCAACGTTGAAGGCATTCCGCTGTTTATTGTTTCTTGATGTGAGGCAGCGCATTACGCCTGGCGTGCACCGTGGCACCACAGGCAAACTGAGGGCACTCAGAACACGCAGCTCTGCAACAGGACAACATATTTATGTTGAATGGGGATTCCCTGGTCGGCTTAGAAGACACAGTTCCAGTTGCTTAGCATGTGGACAAGGTTATTTTATCTACACTTTGGCCACTGCTACTTTCAAGCTACACAAGCTTGTATAACCCTTCGTGTACCGGCCTCATCTCGAGAACCTTGCATTACATTATGGAGGTGCTCAGTACATATAGGGTTAATTGCACAACATACCATTATTAGACTTGGGTGGAGAGCCAAAGATTAATTTATAAGAAAAAAAGAGGACCAAAGAGCTACAAGTTATGCCATAATATCCACTAACACCACCAGTTACTTTACAATCAGCTCATGCGATAACATTGCCGTGACGACACTGACCAACCGTACTGACGTTCTACTCCTAACTGGCAATCAGCTCTAGCACATCTTGGATGCGCACTCCAACAGCCTTCCAGCTTGGAAGGTTCTAAGTTATAGAAATTCTACAAGTATCTTCAAATCTTTAGAACCACACAAGTTGTGTGGTATGTTGCTAGGCGTCCTTGAATTGTGGTGTGAGTGTTTTGTCTGATGGTCTTGCCAGTATAGTCCTCGACATACATGTACATCTGCCAACGTCCTTCACAGCTGAGACTGTCAGCTTGTGCTAGTCTTGGCTGCGCTCGCTTCCCCGCGTCTCCTTATGTTATTTCTATAACTTAGAACCTTAAAGCTGGAAGGCTGTTGGAGTGCGCATCCAAGATGTGCTAGAGCTGATTTCCAGTTAGGTGTAGAACGTCAGTACGGTTGGTCAGTGTCGTCACGGCAATGTTATCGCATGAGCTGATTGTAAAGTAACTGGTGGTGTTAGTGGATATGATAGCGTAACTAACTTGTAGCTCTTTCGGTCCTCTTTTTTTCATACCATTATAGATGTCCTGTATTTCAGTTATCTCAGACTTACTACTACAACACCCAGTCCCTTAGGGGACTTATATCAACCCTTTCAGAAATGATCAGCTGAAACCTGTGATTCAGGGAGAGTGGATTCCAGGGCTGGAGAGGTCACGATTGAATTGGAATGGCAACGCAGGGAAGTGCGCGGAGCAAGTATGATATTCCGTAAAAAATCCACCCGGACTATTACTTTAATAACAGTGCATGATATGACAACTTACCAGGTGAGCTATGAACAACATCAACACAGATTGATGTGGTCTTGCTACTCCAATCATACTGCAGATCATTGAATACACATAGAGGCCAGATTTCTTCATAAAAGTGGGGATTCTCCTTCTTTGCGCATGCAGAGTGTGATATCACATACTGCGGGTGTCTACCAGTCTTTGCATGAAATTTCGCTTGACATAAGCCAAAGGCCATTGAAATGGCCATACAAAGTGGGCTATTAGCAACTCCTAAGTAAATTCTGATACTGTACAAACGTCCATGGGATTCGAGTTAATTAAAGTAGCAAAGCGACCCCTTGATGAGATTGTTGAGGTTGTTCAGTGCTATCCTCTCTTAAAGCTTCCCAAGGAGCCCAGGATCACCAAAATTAACAAAAAAGAACAATTCTGGCAAAAAATGAATTCAGTTAACAAAGAGGGAGAAAGAGAAACGGACCTATAAGTTACTAGTTATGACCAACAGACCACCAAGGTAACGAGATAATACACAGTCAGATAGTGCGACAAGGCACACCACTGACAAGGATATTGAGATATTCGACGACCTGACACCTAGCTCCAACACATCAGTTTTGTGCCTTGTTGTCGCACTATCTGACTGTATATTTCGTTACCTTGGTGGGCTGTTAGTCATAACTAGTAACTTATAGGTCCTTTTCTCTTTCCATATTACTATTTTAGCTGAAAAGCCAATTTTTGTGACTCAAGACTGCCAGAAAGGTGCCGGGTAGACGAACGTGCTCGAACTAGGGGCGTCCGGATTAGGCCAAGTAAAAAAAAAAGCTAGATGATCGTCCCCGTCCGCCCCAGTTTTTGTCAGCGCCCCAAGAAATATTTTATTTTTTAAATCGTGAGTTTTACTATATGGACCACATACTACTAGTATATCACAACGTCAGTATCGATCTGCTGAAGAAAGAAAAAGAAAAAAAGAAAAAAAAAGAAAAAAAGAGAAAAAAAACCTTGATGTTGTTGTGTACACTGTGTGCATGAGAGGGTAAAAAGTAAAAAAATAAAAATAAAATCCTCCCGCCCTCCCCGATTTTTCCAAAAAAAAGGACGATCATCTAGTAATTTTTTTTACTCGGCCTTAGGGGAGTTTTTTTATACAGTACTGTATATGTACATTGTATGTTCGAACTCCATAGCCCTATAGATCTAGGAGCAGGCACTCTAATCCTGCTGCAGAAGCCCAACAAGAAGAGGCAACCGACCAGTAATTTGCGCCCAATCACTCTGCTGGATTCCGTCAGGAAGGCTGTATCACTATTGACCCTCAGACGTATCCAACCGGCAGTGAATGAGTACCTTAGCCCTACACACAGCGGATTCAGACTCGGAAGGTCGAGGGCGGATGCCGTCTGGGCACACCGGTGGATGGCTGCAATTTCCCAGAAGTACCAGAGCGTAATAGAGATTCACGGAATAGATATGTCGAAGGCTTTCGACACCGTTTCAAGGGAGAAGCTGCTGAGTATCATGAGAGCAATCGTCACGGAGGATGACATCCGACTGGTACGGATACTGCTGTCAAACACGACCATATCTGTCCGTCTTGGAAAGGAAGTTTCTCCTGACTTCAAGTCCACCATCGGAACCCCCCCCCCCCCCCCAAGGTGACTCTCTCTCTCTCTCCTGTAGTATTTGTGATCTACCTGGAATCAGCCTTGAGGGAGATCAGAGCATCGATTCCGCCCAGGCCAATGCGCGACATGGCTCTACCACCAGAAGTGATTTATGCCGATGACATTGATTTCATCAGCCAATCCAGACCCTGGCTGGAGAGCATCGAACCGGATATCATCGCTATCCTTGGAGACTGGCACCTAAAGGTCAACGAAGATAAAACAGAAAAAACAACATTGCGCCGAGAAGGAGACCGCCAGGCTGAAGTGTGGCGGAAAACGGAAAAAAACTCGGATCCCTCTTCGGCGACGAAGAAGATGTTGCACGAAGGAAGCAATTAGCAATGGCAGCCTTCAGATCGCTATTCAGTGTATGGTGTCGTCGATCGATCATCAGCGAAAGTCTACGGCTAAGGCTTTACAACGCGTTTATCATCCCTGTGCTAACCTACAACGGAGGCACCTGGGGACTGACGGCTTCAGCATGGGAGCGTACGGATGGATACGTTCCATCGCAGACAACTTCGGAGTCTCCTGGGTATCCGCTGGCCGCAGGTGATTCCAAACAGAGCTCTGTATGACAGATGCCACGCAGAGCCCATTAGTGCCCTCATGCAGCGATCCCGATGGGGCCTGTTTGGGCATATCCTCAGACGCCCTCAAGACACGCCTGTCGCCCTCACTATGCGGAGTTACTTCACCTGTGGGGACAAGGTATGGCGAGGGCGGCCACGGACAACCATCGTGTCCACACTATCAGCGGACCTAGAATCAGCAGGACTGAGGATTCTGAGGAACTTTGCAGACCTGGAACACCTGCGGGCGATAGCCGCGGACAGGCCTGCATGGCGCGAGCTGTGCCAGGATGTACGCAGTAACTAACGGATGGGACAGAGGCATTGTACAGATCCCGTGCATTTAGCACTTACCATCGAACATGAGTTACAAACCTATCGCCGTTGTCTGTTATTCTTATTCTTATTTTTTATCTTTCGAATAGATCCCGCGCATTGAGCACCTATCATCGAACATGAGTTATGTGCCTATCGCCTGTTGTCTTACATTTTTTTAATTATTTTTATTTTCCTCTCTGCCCGCTCTGCCTATCTTCTGGCACATGCAAATACGTGGACTTACTGTTGACGTAAACGCGGACGTGCGTATAATAATAATATGTATGTTTTGTCCCTGGCACACCATCCTTTTTAATCTTGGAGCCTAATCTTTGCACTGCGCATAACTTGTTACACCGGCAAACACATATTGACCGTGACACCCACACATTAACACACCCACATGCATGCATGCATGTGGGTACCTGCAGGTGCTCACTGTCACAAGGATCTTTCTTAAAAAATGTTCCTGGAAGACGGAAAGTATTTCCGATTTTTTCCCCACCACCTCGACCACAGTCAGTCTTCAGTGTTATTTTATCTTACTCAGCCTCAATCACACAATCATTTCCCAATATTATATTTCGACGCACTTCCAAAAATATTTTCACAACTGGGGATGGGCAAACTTCAAGTGAGTTCATCACACCCAACTGGCCCAGCTGTGGTACATTGACCATGTCCTTGGTATTCTCTGCGCATGAGCCCGCAGAACTCCGCGCTCGTGTGCAGGCTTTCCACTTGAGCCTGAGACACTCCGTGCTCTGGTCCCAGATTTCTAATCTAGAGCCCCAGTTGTTCGATACCAGCCCCAATATAGCCAAACTAAAAAAAAAAACAAGAAAACAAGAACACTTGCAGTCAGTTGTGCCTGTGCATGCTTATGAGTAATGATACCTTGACTTCAAAAATAACGAGATAGTGGTAGCGACTTCGGCGATGATTTGATAAGGTGTTCGCTCCTCACACCGGAGCTCGCACTTTTTTGCCGACTTGACTTGATAAGGGGTGCTCTTCAGACACAATCTTCCTCAGCATACTCAAGCTCAACTGATGAGGGGTGAATTCCCCAAAACACTGTGTATTGAGCAGGCAGTGGCGCTTTCTTGCAGGTTTGCCGAAGCGAAGGTTCAATGGACTTCTTGTGTGCTCTGGATGGCAGTCGTGAGTCAGTCAAGTGTCAAGTCGGCAGAAAAGCACGAGCTCCGGTGTGGGGAGCGAACACCTTTCTTTCAAAAATAAGTTTTGCTTTTGATCCTCAGCCCGTCACCATCATGTGCTCTTAGCCGAACCAATGCACGACACACAAACATACAAGCACAGCGGAAGTGTCCTCGCTGTGCTAGTGTGTTTATGCTTTGTGCATTGGTTCAGCTAAGAGCGCATCGTGGTGACGGGCTGAGGATGACGTAAAGGGGAGTATGGCTGAAAGCTCTGTCACATTTTTTGCTTTTGGCAATTTATTCCCACATCTCTTTAGACAGTTTCCGTGGACACAGAAAGAAATCTAACCTGTGCAAATGGTGTGTGTGTGTGTGTGTGTGTGTGTGTGTGTGTGTGTGTGTGTGTGTGTGTGTGTGTGTGTGTGTGTGTGTGTGTGTGTGTGTGTGTGTGTGTGTGTGTGTGTGTGTGTGTGTGTGTGTTTGAATGCGCAACTAGCTTTTTACTTATTGTGTTAATATCTCTTTAGCCAATAATTCTTACACCCAGGAACTCTATAGCCGATACAGACTGTACATACATAGCGTTTTTGTACAATTCAAATTCTTACAAGCATCAATCTGCTGCAGGCATGGGTTGCACCACGTGCATCCTGTTCCAAGAACACCTACAAAACATGAATAAAAACAACAACAACACACACACACACACACACACACACACACACAAACACACAGACACACACACACATGTACACACGCAAACACATGGACACATACACATACACATACATACACACACACACACACACGCACACCATACACACACACACACACACACACACACACACACACACACACACGCACACACACACACACGCACACACTTTTACTCAGTTTACACTGTCGAAACTGATCATGTGGGTCTCCCCGGGAAGGGGAGACAGACTCAAAAGGAATCTTGGAAAGAAGACTCAATTGGCTATTGAACCGCCCAACGGCCGACACCCCCTGAAATCCCCCAAACTCTGGTGGACTTGAAAATCATCCCACTTATGAGCTCACCACACCTAAGCAAGTGGGTGAGGACAAGGTGCAGAAAAAGGATTGACGGCATCAGGGTACCCGTCCCGGGATCCAACTGCAGTTACTCCTGTCCCCAGTGAAGGCAATCATTGTGACTAGCTACTAGTGTGGGTGGCTAAATCAGAGTGGATCTGATAACTATAAGCGTCACTAGCACCACTGATTACACAAAGTTAATCTAGCCAGAAGCAGTCCATGGTTAACAGGTATGTATACTTCAAATAGAAAGTTTATGAACCCTGAAACCAACACAGGTGGCAGGTAAAACACTACACCTTCAAGCAGCCGAGCCCGTTGGCAACAGACCCAACACAATCAGCCATAAGTGTACCCACCAACCGAACTAGCTGGCATACACACACACACACGTACACACACACACATACACACACACACACACACACACACACACACACACACACACACACACACACACACACACACACACACACACACATAGAGTGTTTAGAGTTCTGTTACATGGACACACCAAGGCGTTGCCAGAAGGACTGAAAGTCGGTGAACGAACAGACTTCTTCACGCGCTCAATTGATACTGGAAACAAAAATGTTCACAACAGAAATTGAAACTTTGAGCACAACATTTACAAGAAGAGCTTCTTCCTTTTTTTCTTTTCACTGTTCGTTACGCTACATGTATTCCATTCTGCAATGACATCTTATAGGCAGCCCTAGGTTTTCTGCGACCAGAACTGAATGAGCTTAGAACGGAAAGCTGCTTCATGACAGTCACGTCAAACGGCAATCCGCTGCAATGTAGGCAATGCATGTGTATCCATAGTGGGAGCCTGCTGGGGGAAGGCAAAGAGAGTCAGCGCATCGACAGCAGGGTTGTACATGCATGTGGGGGCCATTAGCGCAGATATAAAATTGGTCGGCTGCAAAAGGTGAAGATAGTCAACAAGCTCCATGTAAATGTATGCATTGCATGGTGCACCATGCATGGTAGATCTACACATCAGTGCAGGAAGTGTAGCTGTGCATGGTGCATGCACGACACTTGACAGGTCTGAGGACCCCAGGCGCATGAGTCGTGCTAGAGCAGCATAGGTGTGTACACTGTGATACACTGATCAAAATGATGTATCACATGTGGATATGGTCATGTGACCCACTGAACCTGGATAAGAAGATCACCTGGCCATGGCGACCACTTTTTCTCGTCCCTTGAGGGGTCGCCTTAGACAG